CCGACAAAAATATTCATAATTAACACACTTCCCATTGTGGGAGGACTGCTCACACTCACACACAGCAGATGTTTTGCAAAGATTCAGATTTTCTTTTTAGAGTTTTGAGTTTAGACCTTTAAAATATGTAATTCCACTCTTAAAATGGAATTAAAGTAATTTAATTAAAGTCAAGTGAAGTTAAAGAATGTTAGATTTCAATATTCATTCAGATTTTTTCTGACTCTAAATTTTCTTTGGTCAATACTAAAATTTTTCTAATGTACATTATAAAGATATTTAACTACTTTCGTGTGAACTTCAGCTTTCAACTGTTCTGCACTTTCAGCTTACAGGTGAATGATTCAGTGTATTGCAGTTAAATTTAACAAGTATTTAACAAATATTCCCAAATATTTAAGCAATTACAGGATTTCAGCTAAAAAAAATAAAAATAATAATTCATGTATCAGCATCCATCCATGCCTTTTCTTCTGCTTATCAGGGGCCGAGTCGCGGGGGAAGCAGCCCAAGCAGAGAAGCCCAGACCTCCCTCTCCCCAGCCACCTCCTCCAGCTTATCCGGGGGAACACCAAGGTGTTCCCAGGCCAGCTGAGAGATATAATCTCTCCAGTGTGTCCTGGGTGGGACATGCCCGGAAAACCTCACCCAGGAGGCGCCCAGGGGGCATCTGACCACCTCAGCTGGTTCCTTTCAATGTGGAGGAGCAGCGGCTCTATTCTGAGCCCCTCCCGAATGGTTGAACTTCTCACCCTATCTCTAAGAAAGAGGCCAGCCACCCTTCGGAGGAAGCCCATTTCTGCCACTTGTATCCGCGATCTTGTTCTTTCGGTCACTACCCACAGCTCTTGACCATAGGTGAGGGTAGGGGCGTAGATCAACCAGTAAATTGAGAGCTTCGCTTTTACAACATAAAAGCACCATAGCTTAAATAATTGTCTAAAATTGTAGACGGTAACTGATTTTTGTGGATGCTTCTACCTCTGGCTGTGAGTACTTCTACAAACACTCAAACCTGCAGCTTATGTGAAATTATACCAGAAATCAAAAGAGCACTCCAAGCATTGAACAGAGACCTTCAGACAACATAGGAAATGTTGAAACTGAGAATTTTATTACACTTTAAAAAATACACTTTGATTTTGAATTTAATGACCACAAAACTTACTCTAAAAAAGAAGAAAAAAATAAGAACTTGGTGTAATGTATCACAACTATTTTACTATTTATGTATTCAGCTAACTGTTTATATTAATCAGTAACATAACTGGGAATAAAAAAAGACCATCCAAGAGAGTCATTCAGTAAGACAGGGGTTTGCAACATTATGAGTGTACATTTGTTCAACAATCTCAGATATGTGTTATTTTTCTAATAAAAAAAACTGCAAAGAATTTAGTAATTTCATCATCTATGATAAATAATATTTCTGTATGCAAGGGACAGAGCTAAGAAGCATGCACATTATAGGGACAACAGTACTGGGCAATCTACACATTACACCTGCAGGAGCTGTGGTCATATTATTAGGGCCTTTGGGCACATTGAAAACGGACACACCTCAGTAGTGGACATGGTTTCTTTGACTCTGGCTTCTTCTGAAAAGCACAATCTGAAACACACTTCATTGCTGCATTCACACACACAGTTCAAAACTCTACCATGGAAAGAAAAAAATCGCATGCCTGCAATTCACTCAGAGCCCAAACTCATTTAAGATGGACTGAGGCGAAATCATTCACACTACATCCTGTGGGTAAAGAACACAGGAAGACCGCGACCATCTGCATTTTTCTTTTAAATCAAGGTGTAGTGTAAATACAGCATTCATGATAGTGTGGGGCTCACGTGGAATGGATAATATTCACATCTTTAAGAATCAATAATGCTGACGTATGTATGTAGTTTTTAGAATCATATGCACTATATGGACAAAAGTACTGTGCCACCTACACATTACACTCACAGGAGCTGCTCAGCCGTGGGAACCCATGCTGTGAAGCTGCTGGCACATCGCTTTTGTGCTGATGTTAAAGGCAGAGGAGGTTTAGAGCAGCAGCCGAGCATTTGGTTTTATGCACTTTATGCCTCAGCACGTAGTGTATTAAAAAGTTACAGACTTACGGAGACCCTGCTGTGTATCTTAATGTGGTCTGCAACATCTTTGCTGAGTCGCTGCGCTTCCTAAACATTTCCACTTTATGTAAGAGGGAAGAACTTTGCAATGAAGACATCCTGTTACAGTACCACACTCAAACTCAGTGAGCTCTTTAAAGAAACTCATTCCTTCACAAATGTTTATAAAGTGTGTGATTTTAGACACCTGTGATCATGAGACTGAGACTGTATGTTTTCATCCAGACTACCTCAATTTCAGGGCTGGCTTAATATTTATTAACTGGATTGGTGGATAGGTACACTCTATACATTTAAACATTTTCCAATTGGGATTTATTTCTCTCTCTACTCAAACAAGTAAGTTCTTTAAAGTGCTGTCCGTGATATAATTCTTGTTAATGAAGGCCTCATGCCAAAGCCCGTTGGTCAAGTGACAATATCTGTTCTTTCTGCTAAAAGTGTTGCAGGAGCTGCGACCTCTTTAGACCCTTGTGCTTATCCGTGTGCCTTGGAAGCAGGTGAAGTTTTCCCAGAAACCTTCATTTTATTGTTTATTTCAGCAACAGAATAATGTGACAGGAAATAGTTTTAAGGGCTGCTTTTGTGTCATCTTTCATAAGTTTGCCATACGTCTCAAAAATGGTTGTTTTACCTCACAATAATGTCTTCACCTGGCATGGGAGAGGACTGAGTTGTGTAACAGAAACATCATGTATTGAATTAGTCTTCTACTGGTCTTGTTTGCAGTGTGAATCAATGCAACCAAAGCTGCATGACTGACCACAAAAGTCTGTACTGCTGTATTAAGAATGTAGGGAGATCTCTCACCGATCGCTGCTGTCTCTGAGACCTTGACTGCAGACTCTTGGCTACGATTATGGCCGACGTGTGTTTGTTTTTGAGTGTAACCCAATGTACTGGACATGAACCGCTAGTGCATATGTGTGTGTGCGTGTGTGTCTGTGACCAGTGAGCTGGTTGAGCTTGTATTGAAGGTACTTTGTAGTAGACACACCCAAGGCTAAAAATTTAAGCTTAATACAACTGGACATATATAGCCACAGCACTATAGATCGGTCACAGCAGCCAGTAAAAGACAAACAATGTTCATACATCCAGTCAGTGTTTCACCAGTAAAAGTGGGAAGAGCAGCTACAGCTGTCGTCACAGCGACCAGTTAGATACTGTCAGACATCAGCCATTTAAAGTGAGTTATGAGCACTAAATGTGCCATTTCTCCTTTCCATATCCACAGTCTTTTCTTTAAGTGGCACCACAACTGGAATGGCCTCGCACACCATCTGTTCCGAAGGAACTGGTTTATAAAACATATTGTCGAAGGATGCAAAAGTGTTGCTAGGTAATGCAAAAGTAGTGTTCATGTTTTTCACCTCAAGTAGCTCCATAAAATCAAAACAGACCTCAAAGCAGACAGCAGCCCAGCTTTTGTGGAATTGGGCTTGTTACACTCTACTTATGCTGGAATTGAAATCCCCTCCTGAAATGAGCTCTGTTTTTTTTATGTATGAAGGCCATCTACTGCTATTTATTTCTCTGTGATGCTGCCGGTGTTGTTCCACAAAAGTGATTTCAGAAGTTCCTATGTGTTTTTAATGTCTAGTATCTTCACTTGTATTTTCAAATAGATTGCAGTGAACAGGATTTACAAAGAGCTTATATATAAACAAAGAAATGACCTGTTTTAGAAGTCTCTTTGTGACCTTACATTATTGTAACCACATTATACTCATTGTAGTTCCTTAAAATATTTTTTATAGAAATCTTATGTTATATTTGTTATAACTTTTCATGCCCAGGTTTCGCTTGAAAATTACTTTTTTTAAAGCTGATTGGAATTTCTACCTTGTGATAATATTCCTTTGGGTATAAAATTACTTGATATCATTAATGAGAGATATGTTTGGAATATTTTTGCCAGATCATAGGCCAACAAGTCATTTATACAGCTTAATTACCACAACTAGTTTTCGGCAAATACTGGAAATCATTTTTTGGCACTTGTTGTGTGAAAAAGAAAAAGAATAGAAAAAAAGATTGTCTGTATTTAAACGGTTTTAAATTACGTGTTGACCTATAATCTGTGAAACACATATCAAACATATCTCCCGTGAATGATATCAAGCTGTTTTAGGCCAAAAAGAGAGCAAAGCGACTTTTATATACCCATTATTTATGAACACAAAACTCTGATTGATTAAAAATGTTTTTTTCAAGAGAGGTGGGGCCAGCAGTAAAATTGCAACAAATATAACATAATAGTTACATAAAGATATTTTAAGTGGTCAAAAAGAGCTGGATTAATTATAATGTAGCAGCAGGTACGTAAAGATACTTGCAAAACAGGTCATTTGCTTGTTTTATATATCCTTTTATAACTCCTCCTTAAATCTCGATGATCCCAGACTATTTATCAATATTGGCAAAAATATAGCAAAAATATTATACATTAAAAAAAATTGAAACACCGGAAATCACTTTTTGGCAACACCCTCATTTCTCTGTACAAGCGTTCAGCGGCAGCGCCTTTTTTTCCCCATCCACGAGATGTCTCTCTGCCTCCCCCTGGCGGCCGCTCCGCCTCACAGACAGAAACTGCTAACAGTTGTCAAAACTGAATGATATTTTTTCTACGGGAGCAGCTCAAACCCTGGTGTCTGACACACACACAGTTATTGAAAAGAACTTAACAAGCTTTTTGAAAGCATTAGAGGGGCACACCACCCCGTACTCATCACTCCCTTCACCTCCAACCCAAGATCACTCTGCAGTCACTCAAGGGCGCACTCCCACACACACACACACACACACACACACACACACACACACACACACACACACACAGAGAGAGAGAGAGAGAGAGACTGAGAGAGATACATGCAGGTGTTAACTGGAGGTGGAGAGAGGAGCGTACAAACTGCTGTCCGCTGGAACTCTTCTCAGAGGACATGAGGGGATGCGTTTCGGTGCCGGTGGCTGTCCGTCCTCATCTCCTTCACATAGAAAGTCGCCTCCTATGCCGAGCGGAGACGCAGGTATAGAGTCTTCTTCCACCTGGCAGCCTGCTTCTTCCCATCCCGGCGCTCCACGCGCCGCACCTCTCATTTCTAGCGAGCGGAAGGAGGAAGGCAGGGAGGAGGTGGAGGTGGAGGGGGGAGGTTTTACTCGGCGGAGAAGGGGAAAATAACATCACGTTAAATGAGTCGCGCGTCCCTTTTGGGTGCCGTGCGTTAAAGCCGTGGTTAATGTGATGCCGGGTCTGCAAGCAGCACAGATGACTTGAGCCTCGTTCTGCAAAGAGAAGACTCACCGATAACCATGGCTGACCAGGTAAGGGGACGCAGATGTTCCACTACAGCCTCGTGGGCTCTGCACAATAGCCAGCCACACACTCCAGGTACGCTGCTACAACACCGCCTACGTTTTTTTTCTGCAGCACACTTTGGTTTCTCACAGCTACACTTTCTATGTGCAGGAATCCCTTTTTTTTTTCACTTTTATTAGATAATTGTTTTATTATTATTATTATTTAGGCTCTTAATTTCTTTCACTATCACGCGAACTTTGACTGCTCATTGGTGACTTAAAGACTGAATATTAATGAACCAGATTTTCTCACCCGGTCTAAACCCCACTTGCTGTTAGGCGTTTCGGCGTTTGCTGTGACAGGATATCTGTGTGTTCTGTAAACCGTCGGCAAGTGTTACACTTCTTAAACGCCTTCGATCCGTTCATATAGTGGAGCACTTAATCCCACAGGTTACTCCATAGATGCTGAGCACAATTATGGATCAGCTGTACAGTAAACACGGCTCGTAAGACTCGAAAGTAAAAAAGACTAACTGGGCTGGAAAGAAACAGCAGTGTCTGTGTGATTGGGCTGCGAGGAAGAGAGAATAAAAACATAGCCTGTAGTATTAATTTTGTATTATGCACTGCTGTTTGCCCCAGTTTCTAGACAGCCTGGCGAGAGAGAGATTAACCCCTGACACGCTGGCGCGATCCGTGGTCACGGTCTCTGCGTAGGAAAGCTCCTCTGAGCGCTGCAGACAATAAAGGCGTGCTTAATTGATTAGATCCTTTGGCTGCTACCTGAGCGACAGGCTTGATGTGTCTGCGTGTGCATGAGAGAGCTACATACTCAAGTGTCACAATCAGCCACACCTTAACTGCATTTTGTTGTAAAAACACTATACAATATTAACAACACTGCAATTACGCTATAGTGCACTTCAAAGGACTGCACTGTTACACTCTGTGCTCTATTTTACACCAGGAAAAGCGTCATGTTAGCAGTCAGAGGATCCTATCTTGAGGCTGGCTGTCCAAACTGTTACATTTCATCCAAGACAGAGGTCTGAATCAGTGTCAGGTCTACAGCCTCCTTACTAGCAAAAACATAATTTTACATTATACCAGTCATACCACACAGTGGTTAAGTCAACGAGCTGTGCAACAGCTTTCTTTCATTTTCTTGTCAGCATTGCTTTGTGACAACAGCAGACAGACTGAATACACATTTTTGAAATTACACTTTCTTTCTTAAAATATCTCAGTTTCATCAGTAGTAGGTGGACTTCTTAAAAAAAAGACATCTCCATGCAACACTATACAAAAACACTACAAATGGTATGTACAGAGTAACTAACAATGCAGTACTGTCACAATAGTCCTGTGAATGTCACAATAGTGATGGTATCACATTCACAGGACAACAGTTCTCTGATACATCGTGATATCCGTGGAACCAAATAGAAACTGGGTTTCTTCCATTAACTTTCATTATTCATTTAAAAAACCATTAAATATTAAGTTTGGTGTGTGTGCTGTATGCTATAGTGTACTATTGTATACTAAACTACACTACAGTATAGAGTATTACTATTACTTCTCTTACTATAGTATTCTATGCTATACTATGTGCTACATTATACTATACTATATTAAAATAAACTATAGTATACTTACTATACTATTCTATACTATATGCTACAATATACCTAACCTTTCTGCTATACCTTTTTAGTTTGCTACATTATAGCAACCTACCCAAATCTAATTCAACACGCAAGTTTATGACTTGTAGCTCGTGTCCTGTGACGTGCTCAGCTCAGTAACACAACAGTAGCTGTAAACTGCATTGTAATGTATTTGAGTGTGCTCCTATTATTGTGTCAGTCCCCTTTAATTAAGTGCCAGTACTGTACTTGGCTGTGCCACAGACAGACACAGAGCCACCAATGCTTGGTGCTGCTGTGGAGCTAGATTAATTGCTGTATTAATATTAATGCAGGTCTTCTGTGGTTGACCTGCTGTGGCTGCAAAACACACACTCCCACACACACATGCACTATTGTGCTCGTGCAGAAACACTCACAGCTTTCTCAGCAAAGCCATTGTTCTATACAAAACCACTGGAAGCCTCCAATTATAGATTTCCATTTTTAAAAGACTAAGAATAAAGATGCAGACTTTATGTTTTTGACCTGTTTGCATGTGATTTCCCGCTGTGCACACACTCACCGTGCAGCATATAGCCACCTGAGTGCACTTATTACGCACAGCTGCAGTCTCTTTTTGTCTATCCTTGCCAAATGTTTCCGTGTTACATGCACGCTTCTTGTTGTTCTCTGGTCTCCACCTCATTCTCTGCATCCTTATCAACCTGCTGTCACTTTTCTGTCAGCAGCTCCTACTGCCCTCATATCACCACTCCCCACCTCAACATCACCCTCCTCCTCTCTTAATTTTCCCTTTGACATGCTCTGTGTCTTCATCAGCATCTTTCTCTCACACTGCCATTCATCTGTCTCACCTCTGCTGTTATCACCTCCTTCTCCTTTTATTTTTTACACACATACGCACACAGTGGAAGTACCCTCCCCCTCCCACATTCTCCTGCGATAACATGGACAAGAATAGGCAGCGTTACAGGTAGATCAGCTGTCTGCTTTGAACTTTAAAAATCTGGGAATGCACTCGTGCCAGCAACACCTCCCGCAATGCCCAGTGACAGTCTTTCTTATTTTGTCTCTATTTCACTCTAGTACAGTATGTTTCTAACGACGGCACCCCCGCTTCGACGAGGGAGCACACCCCTGCCTGTCAAGCACCAGCTGCGAAGGGAAGAGGCCGTATCCGAGGACTGTGATTGGATCCCAGGCTTGGAGGAGCCTACCACGTTGCCTATCAGTGACACAGCGGTGCCTCGGGATGAGTCCTTCAGCCAATCGGCTGCTGCCCAGTCATCTTACCACAGCCATGGCGGGGCACTGAGGATAGTGCTACTGGGACAGAATGGCGTGGGCAAGTCGTCGCTGGCCTTATCTCTGGCCGGGCAGTCAGACAGATCCCTCTCTATAGACTCTGAGACACAAGCATGTGGTAATGACCTGGACAGAGATTGATGGAATGTCTTCATACATGCATGTTCACCTATATTCATAGTTTGTTTCCACTTAGTTTTTAACTAGGTTTAACCAAGGTTTAACTTTAGAAAACAGTAAAGCACGCTCATCCAACCACAAAATTCACCCAACCACTCTTTGAGCACTTTTGTTTTGCCATATCATGACTACCTAAATCATGTAGTGTCCAAATGTCTAAAAAAGACTGGTGTACATCAGTAGCGCTTATGCATGAAGGCTATACCTTTTTAGTTTACATTAAGTATAAAACCAAAGAGTAAAACTATGTTTAGGTTTACAATTCTGATCCTGAATTTCTCACCTCCAAGAGAGGTTTACAGGTTTCCCTTTTTTCCTGTTCTTTTTGCTCAGCTCAGCAAATGCTTTTATATTTAGCATGCAGACATTGTGCAGATTGGTAGGTGGGACCAAGGGATTCTGCACTAATCCGTACCAGCTGTTTCCACCTATTTTGTTTTTCAGTCTAAGCTAGGATAACCAGCTACTAGCTGTAGCTTTAAATATAATAAAGAGACATGTAAAAGGTCTCAGTGACCTCAGCCAGGCAAATGGGATATTCTGGTTTATTGGTCTTCGTGTCATTGGGTATATTTCTACTTAAGGTATACACGTCTACCATTAAAGCTCATTAAAACTGTCCCGACCCTCTTTCCCCCTCTATCAGTCAGCAGGTCTGTCTGTGGCAAAGATCAGTTTAACACCGGGGATAATCAGCTCTTGTCTCGGCCAATCGATAAGTCACTGTCATTAAGAGACGAACGCTCTCCATCATGCATAAAGCTGACGTATCCTTGACATCATCATGTGGTATTCATTGCTGCCAACATTGTACATTTGGATTTATGCATCATACAGGGAGAGAAACAAAAACCCCTCTCAGACAAGGAGCCTTTACATGTTTCCCCAATGCCACTCTTATCATGCCCGGGAATTTAAGTGGTGCACTAAACCGTTCAATTATTCACACATTAAAATTGCAAAGTGTGGAAAGAAAAAAAAAAGACACAACACCTATTTAATTAGCACTTTTTTAGTAGTTTTGAACAGATGCTCAGAACCATAGCATCTGTGAGTGGAGTAACACCTTACCAGCCAATACGCAAAGTAATTACTTTCCAAAGACAGCATTGATTTACCCTGGGAGATTTGTTGTCCCTAAGAGCAGAAATCTCATTGATCCCGGTGAGTTTTCCACAGTTATTGTGTATTTTAATGAAGAAGTGTTTGTGCTAATGGTGTAATGATAGGAAGCTTCAGTTTGTTACGCCTAAATGAATTTACGATATTTAATGGGCACGTACAGTAGCTCCATCTGGCTGCTTTTGTGTATCAAAAAGAATCATCGGATTTTCAAAGTGCTTTGATTTTGCAGCTGTTGCCGGTAACAATTAAAACACGTACAATTAGAAAGAGGGGATCCGTGAGTTTCATGTGGTTGCTGGAAGGTAGCGTACCAACGGCAGTCGCCGCAGTGATTCCAGACGTACCTGTATTTTAAATGTATCATAAGATTCAATGTCCATTACTCAAAAAAATTGCCTTTTGAGATCAGATGATGGAAAATTAAGCATGCGATTCAAAATAGTGACACATGATGTGTTATTTCTCTATATCAGGGGTGTCGAACTCCAGGCCTCAAGGGCCGGTGTCCTGCTAGTTTTAGATATCACCCTGGGTCAACACACCTGAATCAAATGATTAGTTCATTACCAGGCATCTGGAGAACTTCAAGACATGTTGAGGAGGTAATTTAGCCTTTAAATCAGCTGTTTTGGATCAAGGACACATCTAAAACCTGCAGGACACCGGCCCTCAAGGCCTGGAGTTCGACACTTGTGCTCTATATGGACTCAATCTTCACTGTCTCATATACGCTGCTGCTGTGAATATTCAAAAATGTCTATTAATCTGCATCTGAAAACATTTCATTCCCAAAATAATAAATCTCGTTTCAAGTAGCATTTGGTAAAAATTGACCTTGACTTATAGGAAATGGGGAAAATCTACCTTTTTGACGAGCTGTTTGAAAAGATTTCCTTCTTCGGTAAGAGTAAAGAGGCTTGGACCGAGAGTCGCCGATAAGGCAGAGCAGTTAGACTGGGCTTTAACATATAGGCTTAAAACATTTGTTTCATGGGATTCCTTGACAGTTAAGAAAATGCGGAATATCACCATCATCATTTAAACTGGAGCAAAATAGCATTAAAACATCTGCATTATACCGCCTTCATAAACACATCATTTAGCTCCAAAGCCCGGTCTTTAAATGCTTTGCTGTAATCTTCACAGATAATGATGTAAGAACTCTCGAGTAGGTCAAGGACAGTTTTTAAGACTTAAACTGGTTCATCAGTGTCTTGAGGCAGAATATGCAGACAATCTACTTAAGTGGTGAATATTGTGATTCATTCTTTTTATCGCCACTGTTATGATTTTCTTTTACAACCTGTCAGACCCCCCCTATTTATTCTTAACATGAGCTGCATTGTCCTTTCTTATGTGTGACGAGGGCGTTTTGTTTGCAGGTGAGGGCTATGAGTATACGGTGACAGTGGACGACGAGGACAGCAAAGTCATCATTTTTGACAACTGGAAACAGGTGAGTGACTGATAGCTTCGTCCTCTCTCTGTCTTCTTTTTTACACATTTAAACCAGTTCTGTGTCCCTTCTCACTCAATGCCCTCTTTCTCGTCCCACTCTTTATAATCTTTGCCTGTACTGAAGAACAGGGAAAGCCATTTGTCTGATTTCACGTGTAAAGAGGTGTAAAGAGAGTGCATTCCTACTTTTGCTTTTACACCTACTTGTGCGTTTGCGTGTGTGTCCTCCACTGTAGAGGGAATCCTGGAGAAGCGTTCGCTGTACTTGATCTCTTTGAAGTTCTCTCTCTCAAAAGTGGGAATCACTCAGTAGTTAACAACATATGTTTCGATTTAAATCTGCTGAAAAAAGACGACTTCTTCGCAGGCTAAAATTGCTCCTGCTACGCATCATCGGTCTTTACAGTTGAACAGTGCGTGCAAGTTAATGTGACCTGGTGGTGGTGATTGTCGTAGCAGGAGAAACTTGAGCACCAGCAGCCAGCTTGTCAAAAAAAAAGATCCTTTTGACACAGAGCGTATTATGCAAAACCAAAAGGCGTGCAGTTATTAATGGCTGTTAATAATGTGATGGAACAGTAGAGCCCTCTAATTAGTATGTAGGGTAGATCATCCTATTCCAGATGTCCACTGGGCTTTCTCTTTTCTTAAGGTTGAATTAGTCACATTTAACTCAGGAGCATCCACAGCAGGGGTGCTCACTTCTTCACTTTTCCTGGTGCCCCTTTCTCACCTCCAGTGTTGTTGCCTTGCAGTCGTTGTGTTTGAATACCCTCGTCTGTTCTTTCGGTGGCTTTTTTTCGTGCTTGCTCGCCTCATTCTGCTGGTTAAATCTTGCTGAGAGTTAATTATATTTGTTATTATGTGCGTGTTTATACAAGGCAGGGCATTAAGGCTGAAGCAACAGAAGCAGTACAGCGGGGAGCTTGGAAAGACTCCAGGGCCGTCTGCACTTGGTGGGGCGAGGGGCAGCAACCCTGTTCAGCATCGCGTTTATGCTAGTATTTTGTTTTGTTTTGTTTTGCAGTAATGCCACTAGATACAATATATATGCACACAGTGTCTAAAGGCAGAGTGTCCCACATACAAACAATCAGGTGCAGAAACAGATGTCATCCAGATGTCTAACGCGTGGCCGGGCATTGAACTAGCACAACATTAACCGCCGGGCACTCTCCATCCCAAGAGGCCAGGCTTCTGGTCTTGTAGTGAGCCACAAGTGTTCTCCATGGGGCAACCCATCCTATACCCAAGTTACCATAGCAACATGCACAGACACACACACACATACGCACTCAAATGTGGCTGAATTAATCACTCACTCGCTCACGCATGAAATGATGCTGGAATAGTCAGCATCCAACCCTGCTGGCTTTGGGGCTTCATCCGTTCTCTGGCCTGGCCCCATCCTCTTCCTTTCCCAGCAATGCAAACTGCTAAAAAAATGTGAAAAGGTGGCATTTACACCCATAGATTGCTCCTTCAAGTACTTCTCGGTTCGACTCACAACTGATTGGTACATGGACGTCAAGTTGGAGCTACAATTTTACCCGAACTGCAGGGAGCGTTGCACAACAAATCACAGGTAGAGCGCACCGTAAGGGCGAAAGAACCTGTAAATATGTACAGACTGTACCTGCGTGCGTGAATGCACACTCTGCATCGGCCTGGTCAAATGTGTAAAACAACACCAGCAAACACAGCCGCAGAAGGCTGAGAGTCTGCTTGGCCAGACACTGGGACGTTGTGAGTGTTGATGACGTTATAGGGATAGGATGGTTTAAATAAGTCACGATGTGCCAGAAATAGAAACACTGGCACACTTGGCGTTGACCTAGCCAGCCTATGTTGTCCTCCACTCTAAGCCTGAGATTGGTCATTGATTTAAGCTTTAAACAGCCAGTAGGGTCTCTGTGTCAAAGACCAAGTGGGCAACTTTTCCCTAAGTGAGTCCTGAAGTTTCCATTGTTATTTGATAGCTTAAAATCTTTATATTTATTGTAAGCAACCAAAACGTGCAGCCTCAGGCCTGGAAGAATGTAGGGCAATGATGCACAGTATGCGTGTTTATCAGCATGGAGTGAAGAGAATTTGCTGCTGCACCTAAGGGTAGGATCGTTTATTATGTTAAAGAAAGTCAGGATGCAATTTGGAAGAAGATAATTGCTGCTTGACCACATTTCTTATCTCAATTAGGAAGGAAGAAAAACACAGTTCAACCAGCCAATTCTTGGAGTGTTGAATTCTGTCCAGAGAAGCAACTCCCTGGACATTTTTCCCTTTCCTGTTTTGCTGTTGTTTAGTCTTAAGAGAGTCATTCTGCACTATTTACGGTTCCCCATTTCTTGCCCAAATCCATATAAGCTATTATACCTAAGCAGTTCTGTTTGTTTTAGTCTCCGGTGGGACACTCATCTTGTGCAGATAAGTGTGTAAACAAAAATAAAGGTTGAAGTCACAGTTTTGTGTACTATATTTAAGAGATCAATGTCAACTAGAGAAATTGATTTACTGTATATAAGATTTACACTGTTGGTCACAAGTAGATGAACACGACATCAATAAAAAGCATGTTGTTTAGCATTAGCGCTCCGCTAACCCTGCTGCTAACTCTGCTAGCTGCTTCAGCTATCCATTAGCCCATTTGTTGTTTCTAGTCACTGTACCTAGTAAACACCAGCATAATTTGACATCAGTAGCTATCTAGCATGGTAGCTAATGTAGGGTGACCACATTTTGATTTCCAAAAAAGAGGACACTTAGCTCAATCATGAAGAACTTGCTTAAACATATTTAACATATTTAAATGATGCCTTCACTGTGCGGTTAATTAATTGTGAAAAAAATATGTCATATAGGCTTTTACAAGTCAACAAGTGCAAAAAAATAACTTAAAAACCTCTGGAATTAAATAATGGTACAGAAATAATGCTTAATCTGCATAAAAAAAATTACCAGTATGAGGGCTAGACTGGGAGAAAAAATTGACCAGGGTATTTTGACTGGAGACCGGCCCACCAGGTATTATAGGAAAAACCATAAAGCCAAAAAAACTTTGGTTGTAAGATTCAGATAATTATTTTTTAAAATCTAGACATTTTAAATGAGAATAAGAAAGAAAGGTATTTCTTTGTGCCCCCTTTTCCCTGTTAATGCCCAACCTGGCCCCCTGGCAAAACTTTGCTAGACCCGCCCCTGCACAGTTACCAGCTGTCAGCTACATAGAAAAGGATCCTGGTGTTATTTGTCTCTCAGAAACAGTTCATAACTTCCCTTCAACTCATATATGCCACCTTAAAGGTAACCCTGTTTCTCCATCACCTGTTTAGCTCTGATGATTCAGTAAGGACATTTCCTGGTTTCATCTTCATGTTTCCCTCTCACCACATATCCAAACCGATATCATATCACTATCAGTAACATCATAGCACCCACCCACCTGTATAGAAACTCCGTCATGCTAGCTAGTACGCAGTATGAGTTATTGTAACTGACTGTAAAAAGTTAGCACAATGAAAATAAACTACACCTAAATTTGGTTTATATCTGACCCAGATAAATTGCAGGTCATAACTTCACCTGAAGTTCAGTTCACCTGACACTCGGACCGGCGTCTCTCCTCCTCCTGCCTCCCGTTTCCCTCATCCACCTGCTAGCCTCTGTGCAAGCTCCGCCATAGACACCACCAAATAACTGAGTTATTTTTACACACCGGCCAGCATCTGGCCAATCCACCACCTTTGATTGTTTATACCGTTACAAAACAACAACAACAAAACCATCGGCCGTAAAAACGAAAAATCACCATCGGCCCACCAGGCAAATGTATGCCCGATGGCTAGTCCAGCTATGGTCAGTACGAGGGAAATTTCTTTTGCAGTTCGTCTGAAAAGATGCACTTGCGCTTTGGGATCGTTTGAACATCATTAGGCGCGTTGCTGCACGCTGTCAGTCCTGTCCTTGAGTGCAGAACAAGCGCTCACAAAGCAGCAGTTCGGGGATGACGTCACACACATGGGTCCTCGAAAATCCCCCCGGACAGAACGTGAAAAGTGCACATGTCCGGGGAAAAGAGGACGGTTGGTCACCCTAAGCTAATGGTAAAAATTTGCTGACCTGGCTTGTTTCAGATGGATTGACTTATTACCCTCAGCTTCTTTGTTATGTCAGTGTCTATCAGTATTGGCAAAGAATAAAGAAAAGAATAAAAAAAGATGAGAGAAATAGCCTTCAACCATGTTATGAGTGTTAACACTGCATAGCTTGTACATACGTCGGGCAACGTTCTTTTTTAAAATGATAAAATAAGAGTAATAATGGCAAAGAACAATCTAATGTTAGCAAGGTTTTTCCAAGCCCAAAAGTCAGATCAAACCTTATAATTCTATGGTCATGGAACAATTCTAATATTATTAATACTTTATTGTGTTTTGGAAAGAAATCCTCTTTTATCCTCAATGTACATAGAGGTCATGGGTCAAGAACAGAGCAGCATCTGGGCAGGGATTCAGGGATTTACTAATAGACAGTTCTGCAGGGAGCTGGTTCCACACACTGACATATTTCAGCTTGAAACTAGGTCATGCAGGGACACCCATTACTACTTTATCCTTTTGTGTATGTTCTGCTTGTGCACTTGTGTGTGTCTGAGGTGGCGTGCAATAGTCTCCATGGTGCACTAACGGTCTTTATGGTGTACTAAGTCTATGCTGTGATGCCAGCTTTATTCAGCAAGCTGTGGTCATTCATGGTTGGATTATGGAATGGGTATGTGTGTGCAGGCGTGTGTCTGACTTACTCAGTGCAGGCCAGATGGACTCAGATATATGTTTCCTTAGGGTTGTCTTTGTGCAGCAGTAAGTAAGTAAAAGAGAAAGAGCGAACCCACTAACTCGGCATTCCATCTGCACTAAGCTTCATCATCCTATTATCAGATTTTGACTACCACAGAGCAAGGTGCTCCTCTGTCCTCTCTTCTTGCATTTGCTCCGCCTTCCT